GTTCAGAGAACTGGAGGAAGTAATCCTAAAATTCATATGAAACAAGAAGAGACCCAAAGCAATCCTGAGCAAAAAGACCAAAGTGGGATGGGAGGGGCACTACAATACTGGATTTCAAACTATACTATGAAGCCACAGTAACAAAAACAGCATGGTACTGATACAAGAAATAGATATGAAGACCAATGGAATAGATGGAACACAAAGGGACAACCCAGTGCACCTTCAGCCGTCTAGTTTTTTACAAAGGGACCCAAAACATACATGGAACAAAAGATAAGCTCAAATAGTGCTGGTAAAGTTGACTGTCCACAAATAGATGAATGAAACTAGACCCATCTCTCTCACCCTGTATTAAAATCAAGTAAAAATGGATCAACAACCTGGTTTAAAGAACAGAAATTCTGAAACTACTGCATGATCACATAGGATGAACCCTTGAAACCATAGGCACAGAATGGACTCCCTGAAAAGAACTCAGATAGCACAAGAAATAATACCAGGCATTGACAATTGAAATTATATCAAGATAAAAGCTTCTGCACACCAAGAGAAACAATTAATATTGAGGAAAGACAAATACAGAATGGGGAATAAATTCTGCCAACTACTCTTTTTTAATAGAGGACTAATATATATAATATATAAAGATCTCAAAGAAATTAACTCCCTCAAATGACCCAATCAAAAAAAAAATGGGAAAATGAACTGAACAGACATGTCTCTCAGGAAGTACAAATGGCCAATAAGTATATGAAAAAATGTTCATCTTTAGCCATTAGGAAAATGAAAATCAAAACAACTCTGAGATTCCATATTACTCCAGCCACAAATGCTGGTGAGATTGTGGGTAGAAAAGAGCCTTTCTACATTGTTGATGAGAATGTAAACTTCTTTAACCACTATGGGAATCAGTATGAAGATTTCTTTAAAAACTAAAAATGGATATTCCATTTGACTTAGCTATTCATGCATTCCCATGTATAGAGCAGCACGATTCACAATAGCAAGCTCTGGAAACAGCCTAGATGCCCATCAACAGATGAATAAATAAAGAAAATGTGTTTGTGTGTGTGTGTGTGTGTGTGTGTGTGTGTGTGTGTGTGTGCAAATATATGAATATTGCCCAGGCATAAAGAAGAAAGAATTCATGTCAGTTGCAGGGAAATGGATGACTAGAGCCTACGATGTCATATGAAATAACTCAAATATGGTTTCTCTTCTTGAGAAACCCAAAATATAAAGAAATTAAAGAGTAAAAAGAGAGAAGGTAAGAAATAGGGAAGCAGACTTTTCTGCGCTGAGGAAGGGGATCAGAGAAAGGAGAGAAGAGTGAATGTAGGGAGAGGGAGAAAGGAGGTAAAAAATTTTCAAGCTGCGATATGTATATGGACCAATTTCCCAAAACAAATGTAAATATTTTGTATTGCAAACATATGCTAATACAAAAGAAGACAAATAAATACCATTTGGCAATATTTGTATTTTAAGTAGTGTTCATTCCATTTATATTTAGTATAGGTATCGATATAGTTGGATTTACGTTTACTATTTTACTGTTTATTTCCTATTTGACCCAACATTTTTCATTGTTCCTCCTATCCTGCATTATTTTGCATTACATTTCTTAAATTTGTATTTAACCAAAACTTTCTGTACTATTAAAATAATTGCTCTAGGTGTTATAATATGCATCCTGGACTTATTACCGTGAGTATGTTATTTTCTTGATGTAAAATGTAAAATCCCCAAAATAGTAAAATTCGGTTAATTTTCAGTAAATTATATATCCACATACATTAGAAGTATCACAATACAGTGTTATAAATATTGTTCTAAGTAATGAGCTATTTTTTTAAATTGGAGGAAATGTTTTATATTTTTCACCTTTTTAATAAATTATTTATGATTTTTATTCCTTTGCATCTACTGCCATTTTCTTCCACCTAAATTGTTTTCTTTAATACATTTGTAATAGTTCAGCTTTTACCTTCATTTTTGAAGCATATTCTTGCTAAATGTGAAATTCTAGTTGGACAAGTTCCATCACTCAGCACTTTGAAGATGTTCTGTCATTGCGGACTCCATAGTTTCTGCTGAAAACTTAATGATGAGCTGTAACACTTGTCCTTACATGTGATGCCTTTTTTCCCTCTGACAACGTCTCAGGACTTTCTTTGTTTTTGATTGTTAGAAATTTGTCTAAACTGTTCCAAAATGTGGAAGTTTATTTTTAAATATCTACATTGTTTAGAGTTTGCTGAACTTCTTGAGTCTTCAACTTGACATTTTTCACTCAATCTGGGGGATTTTCTTCTATTATTTAAAGTAAAATTTTGTTTCATTTTTTCCTCTTCTGAAAATCCATTCATATGCATGTTAAATTGTTTGGTGTTTTCCCACAGGTCTCTGAAGCTCTTTTCACACATTTTTCCACAGAACTTTTTTTTCTATAGATGCTTCAAATTAAATAATTTCTATTGGTGTCTTCAAATTCTTTAACCTTTTATACTGCTCTTAACTTCATCCCATGAATTTTATTTCAAGTATCATACTTTTCAGTTTAGTATTTTTATTTGGTTCTTTTTCATAGTTTCTATTTATTTGCTGTAATTCTCCATTTGTCTGCTCATGAGAGTTTCATCCTTTAAATCATCAAAAAATCAATATAGCCGCTTCCAACTCATTGTAATATCTGGGTCATTTGAGGTCTTTCATATTTGGTCACATTTTCCTGTTTCTTCAAAGACCTAATAATTTTTTATTGTATACTGGACATTGTAGAGAATACACAACATACTCTGGTTTCTAATTTTCTCTGAAAATATTGAATTTTTTTGGTAGCTAGCAGTAAATTACTGGCAGATGACCACTAGGGTGTCCATTTCATTTTTGTCATTAATCTTAAAGTAGAGTACTTAAATCAGATATCTAGTCTTTATATAAAACATGAACTTTCTTGAAAAATTACATTTTGACACCTAGCAAAGGTCCAACTCTAATCATTAAAAGGCAGAGTACAAGAACTAAGATTTCTCCTCTCTTCTTTTAGTCTTCCAGCTGTATTTTTCCACTGGGTGACTTAAGTTTCCCCTGAACATGAGTATTTCAGGGTTCACTCAAGGATTTGAGAGTATGAGTATATTTGGGACCCACCTAGCCCCCACTGTGAGCCTCTGTCTAACAGTCTTATCCCTCAACTTCCTATCATTGTGTGAGCCCCAGACACCGTCTTGTGGTTCCTCGGGCCGGTGAGATTTTTGTGGCTCCTTCCTTGAGTTCTCCCTTTCTGTGCTAGGGTATATACAGCCTCTTTGGAAACTCTATGAACATACTGAACTTATCCGGTGTGGTTTCTTATTTTTAAAAAATCAAATTCCTCCCGTTGTTTTCCTACTTTGATAGTGCTCCAGTTTGTTTAAATTACTGTCATTTGTAACTGTTATTTGCAGGAAGGCTTCTCTGATACAAGTTCCTCCTGAATGACCAGAACAAAAGCACATACTGGCAACTTTAGAATTCAGTTTTATTTGGAATATTTTACCTTGAAGCATAGATTACAGCCGTATGAAATTTGAGGATGAAGTTTTCATTTCTGAATTATAGGTTTCTACATTTATACCATCATTGCTTTGCTAAAATGTCGACGCTTCAAAGAAAGAAACAAATGAGAAAATCTCAGAGGAAATGCCGTATCTGTTGTTTCATTTAGGATTTGTAATACATAATATAGAGGCATAGAACATCAGCCTTCTAAAAGTCTCAGCTGAAAGATACGAGTTTACTGTCTAGTGGACTTCCAATTTTGTAAATAATTCCTTAAAGACCTCCCTTGGCTGTTTATATAAATGAGGAAAGATTTTTAATTCATCTTAAATGAATTAACTGGACAAATCAAGGGAGAGAGAGAGCCAGGTAAAAGAATGTAGTGAGCCTAGAAACATTGGGTGCTTATTTTGAGGCTATGGTTAGAGATTCCTGGTTGGAATAGTCTATCCCATAAGAGTTCCGGGTGGGTGCCATGCCACACAGGAAACAATTGCAGCCTGCCCTTTGGAGTAAGGCAGAGAGCTAACAAATTCAGTGTGCATTGTAATGCTTCATCAACACGCCTTCTGCAGGGCCTGCCCTCTCTGCTGGGTCACTGACCTTTATAAGTGCACAGTCATGGCCACTGCCTGACAGGCATGAAAAGAAGACAGACAATGGACCAGAAGGAGACATGCACAGAGGGGGAAAATGCACTCATTCAAGGGATTTACTGGTTAAGGATGTCATGTCCTATGTCCAATTCCAGAATGCATGTGGCAGTGTTTAAACCATGCACATGGGTCTGAATAAATATAAAGAATGATTATTATCAACATGTGAACACAAAAATACTCCTGAGAAACATGATCAGCTTTGCAGCAACACAGAACAATACAGAAATTGTTTCTTACTATAAAAATGTTAACCAACTTTTTAAAGCTTTAGATCATTAAAATTGATTGGAGTGTCCTACAGCCTGATTTCAAAGGCATTCCAAGCTCCAGAGACGGCCCGTATAGTAGCTTGCAAGAAGAAGGAAATTTTTAATTTCGCTCCTAACTTTGTCAAAAGCAACTGCGTAACTGCAAACCATCAAGCTCCCAATTCTCCATCTGTACATCAAGTAGGGGCTTAGCACAATGACCCAATTTTCCAGATATTTTGGGATTTCTGTGTTAGTTGCTATCTCAGTTTCCTCAGACCATTTGTACAGCTTCTTGTTCAAGAAGTTTAGAAAATATGTTAAAGTTACTATTCCTACAGTAAAACTCCTGGGATTCCAAATGTTTCCCCAGTTCAGTAAGAGTGAATTATTTTACATATTGGAGTTCCACGTAGATTTTTATTTCTTTTTAATTTGTTTTTAAAGAGTCCATTCCAAGTGGAAAAGGATTTGTAAACCAATTCTCAAGGATGTTCCTCCAATGGTATATGGTTCTTATAATAAAAAAGAATGTATAAATTTTTACCTTTTGTTGATAAGCATTTTCCAGAGGCTCCTCAGAGTGATATTAAATTATGATTCTTGAATGTCATACTCTTCTACTAGAAGACCGGCATACGGCAGGTGCATCTGGAAAGATACAGGTGTTCTGAGAACTCCAGTCTGAAATGTCCTAGAATTCAGATGCACATTTCCACCACTTTAGAGATCAGCACAGAGTGGTTTGTCCCACTGGATTGGTCCACATTTCACAGTCTCTAAATTTTATACACTTCATCTGCTTACATTGGCCCAAGGGCATCTGAGTCAGGAATGACATCTTATCTGGCACTCCACCCCAAAGTGCCCAACAACTCCCCTTGTTTCTTGAAGAACTTCTCCTGATTAGTAGTGGTTTAGGAAAAGTAACACTAGTGGAATCAAGGATAATTATGTGCATATGTAAACCCTAGAGAGGATAATCATAGGATGCATCTCAAAGCCAAATAAAAGTGAATTCTACTATTGATGGTTGTAAAGTAATCCTTCCCACTGCTCCCTTCTTTAAATATAAGGCAACACGTATAAACAATATGCAAATCGTTCCTAAATCCAAAGTATGTCTAATACTGGCATTAGCTTTTTTACTCAAGAATTTATGCCCATTGGTGGCAAAAATAAATCTGCCACTTTGCCAAAAAGAAAAAAGTAAAGAAATTATCCTCACTTTGCAAAAGTAATTAATTCTGGCAAGGATAATGTCAACATTCATTTTAATGAGAGGGCAATCGCCCTTCCCTGCTAAAGAGACTGGAGCCTCCTATGGGAAAACAGTAGTGTCTGCTTGGGCGCTAATGTGAACATCCTGTCCCCATTCTGGGAAAGGATTCTTCCCTGTTAGATCCTCCTAGTTGGAATCACTGTTTTACTTTCTCCCAAACACAAATGTGCTAGACTACCCTCTAGGAACTTTTGTTCTGTCACACAAAAACACACTGTCATTCATGCGGCCTCAGTTGCAGGCAATCATATGCTGAACACTTGGCATAGTTAGGCTTTTTAGTGACATTTTTAGTTTGTTCTTGATTTCCTTGTTCCTTTTGAAACATTTTTCTTGCTGAAGGAGAGAGAGACAGAAAGAGAGCCACATTTAAATTTAATAGAGACAACTGTTGGACAGAATGTTGAGAGAAGTGAGTGTATTCACCCCACCCACTTCATCAGAAGCCACTTCCTGTGTGAGGTGGGATTTGAATCATATTAATTTGTCCCAGACCACACCAAAATTAAGCTGTTCACGTCTGAAACATTCCATGAATTCAGTTGCGAGGAGGAATTTGTTCAGCCATGTTATGGATTCATATTTCTCTCCTCTCCCAAGAAGGTCTGGGTGTCCTTATAAGGGAGAACGCCTCTGTTTCCCACAGTGTGGAGAGCTAAATAAATACTCTCTCACAGTCAATGCAGAGGTAACTTTTTTTTAATGGATTAAAAAAAAAGCTGTTCTGAGAGTCCATCACTGCTTCAGCATGCCCATTCAGAGAGGGCGCCTTTGTCTCTCTCTCAGTGGGAGCTGCCATTTTAATGGGGCCTCCAGCGGGGCCTAGTTTGAGGATGTGAAGTAGGCCTAGAAGAATTGGGGAATTTTTTTTATTTAGATTTTGGTTAATTTAACCATTCTGGCTTTCAAATGAACTGAAATGTAAAAGTGAATCCACAGTAAATGTCCCTTAGAAGCTGCAACCAGATAATTTCAGTGATTCCTCATTTCTGAAGTTCTCTCATGTGAAAACCAATCCCTTGAAGTTCTAATAGGCATTACGAGCTCTGACCCTCAACCCCCAATCTATTCGCAAAGGCGGAAACCAGCAGAATTCATTCATTCTTAGAAATATGCATACATATACACAGACACGAGCACGCACTTCTAAATACTAGATGAAAAAAAAATTGCTTTCAGCTGACGGGTGATGCCAAGGCAGGACTGGCATGGCTTTTTGGTAATTCTGGGGTTTCCCTTTCGCCTGAGTCATAGACCAAGGTACAGGGAGTGCCCCCACCACAGGGCCTCAGGAGTGCCAGAGCTTCTCCCCACACCATTTACCCACAGGGGGTTCCAACCCCTTCTGCACACTTTCCAGATAAAACTGTAGCTCCCACGAATAAGGCTGGAGCCAAACAGGCTCACTGGCTGCTGTACCCTGGCCCTGGCACTGGACCTGCTTTGCCCTGGCCTGCCTGTCAGCCCTCGCGGCCACACACTGGCTGTCCCTGGCAGCTGCATGCCCAGATGCCAACCTCTGGAATGTGTTTTGCGTTCCTGCTCCTCTTCTGGGATGGCCTCAGGGAAAGGCTCTTCCCTGGCCTCTGTTGGCTAAGGAGCAGCGAGTAGGCAGCTGGGGAAGCGATCATGCTTCCAGGACCCTTTGCCTGCACTAATTCAGCGCAATATATGTGCCCTGAGCCCCGCCGCCGCTGCCGGAGTAAGAGGTAAAGGTCTCTACCTAGAACGCTAGATCATTAGTTTAATAAATGGGTGACTCGTGGGCCTCTGTGAGTGTGTGTGTGTGTGTCTGTGTGTGTGTGTACTTATACATGAAGGCTCTCACTCTTCACAGGCATACACTTTTAACAGGAGGCAAGAAAAATGACGGAGTGCATTTCTGGAAAAGGCAAATATTTAGGAAGGTACAACTTTGTTCAAACATATCTATGCGAGATTCCACTGCATGTATTTGGAGATTTACATAAAAATATTCTACAGTCAGAAAGCCCTCCTTAATTGAGCTGATGGGGCGGGGAGAAGGGGGAAAGAAACTGCCCCCATAAAATAAGTGAATTCAACTTAGTGTTTCCCAGTAATTGGGCTGTCTGAGATGAGACCAGGTTCAGGAAAACCCAAGTCAGTTTTAGAGCTATATATCTTAAGGTCTTTCAGGTGATAGACGACTCATGTTTGTTTTTAATACAAAGTTTCAATTCATTATAGTCAATAAAAAGTGGCATCAGTTCATTGATGGCTAATCAGTTCTGACTTGGTGATTGAAGGAGTTAGTTTCGTGTTTATTGCAATGGCAAATTGGACCAAAAGTTCTGCCACCCCCACCCCCTACCCTGCAGCTCTTGAAATGTGAAAGTATAAGGCAACCCACCAACAGGAGGCTGGGTAGGGCTGGGGATGGTGCTCAGGGGCGCGCTGCTTGCCTAGCGTGCCCGAGACTCTGGGATAAATCCCAAGAACCGCAACAAAAGAAAATTAAAAAGAAAAGAAGAAAAGCTTGGTTGATGATAAAAAATTATTTTGCCGCTGCCTTTTCTATGCTTCAAACAGAAGGTGCCAAGAGCCGACTGGCAGACCCTGTGCAGCACAGGCATTTTGGGAGGGCCTGGAAAAGTGGACATCACTTATAAAGCACAATCTGGACAGCAGATATGTTCTAGCTCTCAAAACCTATTTGAAGTATTAATATCTTTATTACCTTCTTGTAGTAAAAAAGAAAATGGCATGGAAATGTTTAGAAATTTAAAATGAGAATTACTATTATTCCTACACTCCAGAAATAATGCCTAACGAATCTGATGAGTATCCTTGTAGTCTATTAATACACAGATCTAAGTAAAAAACATATATTAAGTGTGTATACAGGCCAATCCTTGACTTATGAAGTTATGATCTTTCAAAATTGCCTAGACTAGACTCCAACTTGGGATCCTCCTGCCTCATCCTCCCATAATGCTTATACACATGTCCCATCTGCCCAGCTAAAAGCTTTTTTTTTTCCCTCATAAAAGGAATAGGAATAAAAGCCTTTTAAAGTACAATATATCAATTTATAATGGTTTATGTGGACATAACCCTACCTTACAAACATCATGAAGTACCTGCATATAATATGTATACACATAATATATATTTAATATGTATCTAGAATTTAAATATATGGTGGTAGTCCTTCCTTTACTGATAGTCATTTGAGTTATTCCCAAAACTTCAGTGACACAATTAATGCTAAAGAAACATCCCCTTATATGCACTCATACACATTATAAATTTTAAGTACATATTTAAATACAATTGCCTTTGCTTTTATGGAAACCAAAATTATCAGCTAGTCAAGGAAAGTCAGCAAGGAATGGAGTACAGGTATTGCACAGAGTATAACTCTGCCAGGCGCAGGGCAAGCTGAAAGAGGCTTCCTGAAACAGAAAGCCAACCCGTTAAAAGTTGCATTTGGGTGTGTAATTTCTTTTCAGAGCCATGACTGTCCTTGTCCTCACAATGTCTTCTTTCAGATAACGTACTCGTGGATACGTCCGTCTCCAACGCTGTAACAAAACCGGGCGTGGAGGTGGACACACCGTTTAACCTTGAGATACTGACGAGAAGCCATTACAATGATCATGCAGCCCTCTACCGTCTCCAGCGATATTGGTCTCTAATCCTCATCACCTCATATTCTTATTAACTGAGTCTGGATTAATTGCTTTAGCCTTTGCTTTCTGATATACGTTGAATTCTAACAGCACGTAATAACCTTCAGTGTGCAGCACTATAGTGCCATCGTCCTCACCACTTAACACCCGATGTCAACAAATCATTCATGCACTGTTTTTTTTTTTTTTTTTTTTTTTTTT